CTCTTATGATAATCATTTATTTCATTACAATAAATATTACTTACGACATCGTTACGCGACGAAAGTGACGTAGGAGAGGTTCTGGAATAGGAAAGAAAAAATTTATTGAAACCTTATATTGTATCAAATATTTTATATAAACTGTTGCATAAAGTTGTTGTAATTTTTACACAATTACAATATTTTCATCACTGATGAAGAAGCCGTATCGTAACATTTATTTATCAACATGCAGATAAGTTAATCATCGACATCTTGCACAATTAAATTATAAACATTGCGTAGAGATAAAGAAGAAACCTCAGTTCTAGTCAATTTAATTTTTTTTTCCTCACTAGCCTCATGTTAATTTTATAGTTATTAATTATATTTCAAATTGTAACACCTTATCGAACATTAGCCGTCATTATCAATAGAAAATATTTGTATTAAAGTATCTCAGGCAATAGCAATATGTAAATAATAGCAGTGCAATGAATGCAGCCCACAGTCGACAGTTGCAATATAGTTAAATCTTTAGTTAACTAACACAGCTGAGCTGGTGAACAAACGCTGAATGTGTCTTAAATAGAAAACTAATGAAATAATAAAATAGATTAAAATAACAGCTTCAAGAAAACTAATACGAATTCGTAAAAGATAAATACAAGAGCAAACTGAACATTTATTCCATAACTGGCCTGATCTACCCTTACTTAGGGTAGACTTCGAGTCCCTCTCGATCAGCTGATATAGAAAAAAATATTCACAATACAATTTCGTAGTCTGACACAATAATTTGACCACTAACCCGGCAATAACGAACCCGGAGAGGCAGATGATCATGGTGCAAATATCCAACACTAGACACGATAGAAATAACTGAACACAGAACACAAGCGACACTGGGCGAGGTTGGGCACAAACTGGCGCGCTGCGAGCCGCGCACGCTATTTATGTGGGCTCGCACGCGCCCCGGCGCACACCTGCGCACAAGACACTGCCCAGGTAAACGGACTGACCGAAAAAAGTTCACAAACTTGCAGTTAACTTTTTTCAGAATTACAATTTAACCGTAATTTTGCAGAACTTAAAAACTGACATCATATGTGTTACGTGTGATCGGTTACAATAAATTGTATTACCATTATTACAAGGGCTGTGACCTTTAGGGTCTGGCCTTGTAAAGTTGCGGGGTCGTTTGCCAAGTGACCCAGTTAGCGGCGGATGTGGGGCGTCACACCGCGGGATGGGTCATACGAGGTGAACTCTTGCCTGTCGCGTCTTCGGAGTCAAGGGCAATAGGCGATTGTACCTAATAGTTCAATCAACTTTCACCTAAATATAGATTAATCAAAGATTATATATTATGTGAGAAAAAGTTTTATTTAATCGCAATCATAAAAACCAGTGTGATTAGTACTAGTT